GGCTGGAGCAGCCGATGCCGTGAACCCTGTGCAGAAATGTCCTAGCAGGACTCTGAGCAGCCTGCCTGTCACTTCCGAAGCTTTTGGTTCAGCTCTAAGAGATTGATCCTCATCTGCTTGTCCGAGGAGCGCCTCGGGGATGGATTCCCCAGGCAGGGAGTTTTCTTTCCTTGTGTCAGCACCGTGTGCTCCTGGTGATGCTTTGACTCGTGCAGAGGGGAAGGGGGGTCCTGCAAAAGTCCCTCCTGGGAACTGAAGCGTGGCAGTGTGGCTCTGCTTCACGAGCTCATTAAGCAAATAAATCCCCAGGATGCTTAGTTCAGATAGGGCTCCTGCAGGAGAATTTATAAAGTCATTCAAACCGTTTTAATGGAAAGTACTAACCATCTATAACACAGCATCTGTTGTCAAGTCTTTGGAAAAACACGCCTAAATTAAGAGTATGGGAGACAGTGAGACAGACTGGTGGGCTTTCTGCTGGAGCAACCAGCTGGCCAGGGCTGGGGGGGAATATTGGTGGAAACTCCTTCCCATCTGTAGCATCAGGCCAGGCCCTGGCTCCTCAGACTGCCCTGGGCAGAGCTGGCTTGGGCAGGTGGCAGTTCAGGGAGGGAAGAGAGGAGCAGCTCTGCAGTGCTTCTGTCCCAGGGAGTGTGAAGGTACTAGGGAGGGTTCTTGAGGGAAGCCTGGAGAAACATCTGCAAGAAGCTTTGGCATCCCTACGCTCAGAGAGTCTGGTCTGGAGAAGAGGAAATGTCCTCTGCCATTAAAATGAGATGAGACGGGCAGGGCAGCAAGGGGAAATAAGCTCAAGCTGGTCCCACGTGGCACCAGCACCCCCACTTTCCCTCTGTGTGAGGGCGACTGGCTCCTGCTTTGTTTTCCCTGGGGTGTTTCAGCCCTGATGGACAGTGGTGGTCCCAGCTCTGCTGTGAGAATGAGCGTCAGCAGGGAGGGGGCCAAACTCAAAGGTGATGGCTGTCTGCTGTAGTGTGGGTCTCCTGTCCTCCTCTTCCAGCCTTGTCCCGTGGCATAAGCCATAGGGCTGCTGAAAGAGGATTTGTAGTCATGAAAAACGTTTCCACTGCAGACTCTAGCCCCCTGTACCACAGCATCTGCTGCCATGCCTCTGGAGAAGCCCATCTCTGCTCCCAGGCCTGGGGCAGCCAGGCAGGCTGGGGGGGTTCCCGCCACCCGAGCCACACGGCG